ATGGTGGCAATTGGCCCCACCCCCACCTGGCCCCACCTCCAGTCGGCTCCCCAACCCCAATCGGGGGCATTGCCAGCTGGCCAACCACCCACGACCCCTCCCCTCAGCGAGCCTGGCCCCAATGAGCCCCCATCAGGGTGGGCTGGCCGGACCTCACCGGTGCAAGAATTTGTGCATTGGGCCTCTAGTTTTTTTATAATGAAATGAAGCTGAGTTTATAATTGGGACTATTACTTCCTAGTTACTAAAAATGCTGTGATCCCATCTTGATCACCCTATAAGCTTTGTAGAAGAGGATTTTAACTGTTTTGTTCACTTCTTTATCCCCCACTCCTAGAACAATGCCTAACACATAGGAGGTGTTCAGTAAATATTTGCTGGATTAAGGAAAAGCATCCTTACAATTTGACCACTTTGTATACTATACTGATTACTGAATTTCTATTAGTAGTTTCATTATGATGTCAAGTTTCTGAAGTTTACCCACTGAATTAGAACGTGAAATAATATATTTTCTGTAATCCTTAGCAGAGCTCAGAGGAATATATTCTAGATTAAGTGATATGTTAGATTTGAAAATCTTAAGTTTGGTTACTGACATGTGCTCTTACACATTTCAGGAAGACAAACTTTTGCTTGAGAGCCAACTGATCCTAGCTACAACTGAACCACTATGTCTAGATCCTTCTATAGCTGTAACATGTACTGCAAATAGATTGCTCTATAACAAGCAGAAGATGAACACACACCCAATGAAACGGTAATTACCTTTGTGGAAAGGTAAACCAAAAGATGCTCCTAAATAACTAGCTCTAAATTTTGCTATTTCTGGTACCTTATCCCTCTCAAAGTATGTAAATGCTGTGTATTTGTTTTTTAAGTAGGATTTTTAATTTCTTTGTATTACTTTCTTTGTGTATTATAAGTTTCTTAATACTTTTGGTTTTGTATTGAAGTGATGCATTCCTTGTATTTTTTAAAAATATATTTTTATTGATTATATTTATTTCAGAGAGGAAGGGAGAGGGGGGGAGAGATAGAAACCTCAATGATGAGAGAGAATCATTGATCTGCTGCCTCCTGCACACCTCCCACTGGGGATTGAGCCTGCAACCCAGGCAGTGTGCCCTTACTGGGAATCGAACCACGACCTCCTGGTTCATAACGTCGATGTTCAGCCACTGAACCATGCTGGTGAGGCTTTATTCTTTTGAAGAACAAAATTTCTATAAGCTTAGAATCTATTCACCAAAACGATAAAGACATTTATGAACAGAAATAATTACTTTTTTTTTACTTCCTAATATCCAGTAACCAGTTTAAATTTTGTTAATATTACTTTTAAAGAAACGATAAAAAATTTACTTTGAGATATAGAAAAATACAGTTTTAGAAGTCAGTTTATAACTAAATGCCTTTTTATAACATGGTAATTTGTCTTTAAATGTTTTATTTCTTCTTAATAAAACAAATGCATATAAATTTGGACTGCAGTTATAATTGGTTCATCATTAAGTTCTCTTTTTTTAAAAAAATATATTTTATTGATTTTTTTACAGAGAGGAATGGAAAGGGATAGAGAATTAGAAATATCGATGAGAGAGAAACATCGATCAGCTGCCTCCTGCGCACTCCCTACTGGGGATGAGCCTGCAACCAAGGTACATGCCCTTGACTGGAATAGAACCTGGGACCCTTCAGTCCGCAGGCCGATGCTCTATCCACTGAGCCAAACCTGTCAGGGCCATTAAGTTCTCTTTACATAACTGTTTGAGTTGCCCATTTTGGATCTTCACCAAATTTGAAGGAGCTTAAAACACCTATGCATTTTTTAAATCTTTGACTTAGTATTGAAATAAGATATGCTGAGGAAATGATATGTCTTTAGAAATAATGAAATAAAGCTATATTGGATCTGTCAGAAGCCCTAAAGAGTCTCCTTGTATTCTTGTCCACATCTCTTCATGCCCAATGCCATTACCTTGGTCCAGGCCACCATAATCATCATAGCTTCTATAATCTCTTTCCTGATTGATTTTCCTGCTTTCACCTCTGATCCCTCTGGTCTATTCATTATGTAAGCAAGCCAAAGTAATCTTAAAACATCAAAGCAGATCATGCTACCACTTGTCTAAATTTACCTAAAAGCATTCCATCACTCATACTAAATCTAAACACATTATCATTGATCTATAAGGCCTTGTTCTCTGACCTCATCTCCTATGTGGACCCTGATGCACCTATCTTTTCTGCTTTTAAAACAAAATAAGTTTGTTTCTACCTCAGCACCTTTTAAAATTCTTTCTACTTCAGATACTAATATCCTAATTTTATATAGCTGGTTCCTTGTCATTCATGTCTCCCGTCACATTTCATTTCTTCAGTTTTTTCCTTCTCTAATATTGCCTTTCTTGTCTCTTACTGCAATATCCTGTTTTTCTGCTACTGCTTATTGCTATCTGAAATTATTTTACCTGTTTATACCTGAATGTCTATCTTCCACACTGGACTGTCAGCTCCATGGTTGCAGGAATTTTGTTTGTCTTCTTCATTTTTATTTCACTGGTGCCTATGACCATGCTTGGCAAGTGGTGGTATTCTACAGATACTTGTGATTTAATTACATATTTAATGCTTACTTATTTAAACCCATATTCATTCTGAATTTCTTTTATTAGCTTAGTTTATTTCAAATCTCTTAATATTTCAGGTGTTTCAAGAGATATTCCAGGTCCTCTCTGAATCGACAGCAGGATCTGTCTCATTGTCCACCTCCTCAACTAAAATTACTTGATTTCTTACAAAAAAGAAAGGAAAGAAAAGTAGGTCAGCATTATGACCTCAAAATTTCTAAAGCAGGAAATGTAAGTAGTATATTTTTAAAATGAAGCTTATTGTTATGCCAAAAGCCTTGCCTTATTTTGAATTTTCAGAATCTTTATACTGTTTTTAATTTTTCAGTGTGTAGATATGTGGAAAAGGAGTCCCTGTAACTTGACTGTACCTTCTGAAGTGGATGTAAGTTGATTCATGAATTTCACTTATTTTTATATAAGGTTCCTAAGTTTAATTAATAGTAGCTTATACTTTGGGCAAACAAAAAATCTTACTTTTTTTTTAAAACAAAATAATGAATTGTTCTTTAAACAAGCTGCTCAGTTTTAGAAGGTATATTCTTCTTTTACATTTACTTGTGTAATAAGACTGTAACTCCTTAATATAGGTCTGTGTTTAGAGCAGGAATAATAACCAAAGAATTTTAAATCATGGGAAAAGTTGATACATATTATATAATATGCATAAAATGCCTCTTTTTGTTTTTAATATTTTATCATAATTTTCTAGCAATGCTTCTTCCTCAAACTGGGTAAATTTAAAAATTAACAATATTAGAGCAGTGGCCAAGATGAGGAACCTTGGGTGGTATTCTTTGGTGGTCTATAATATGCATGATCAAAGACAGGAAAGGGATCTTCTGATGTCTCTAGTTATTTTATTTTCCTATTCCTTTCTCCTGCATTTTTTATTTACTCAACTTTTTATAATTGGTTAGTTATTTCAACAGATGTTTGCTCTTTTGCATTCTTTCCAAGCTAACACATGTACTATTCTTAATTATCTACTAGAGGCCTGGTGCATGAAATTCGTGCACTTGGAAGATCCCTCAGCCCAGCCTGTGCCCTCTTGCAGTCCGGGAGCCCTCAGGGGATGTCCGACTCCATGGGGAGCGGGCCTAAACCAGCAGTCAGACATCCTTAGCGCTGCCACGGAGGCGGGAGAAGCTCCTGCCACTGCCGCTGCGCTCACCAGCCGTGAGCCCGGCTTCTGGCTGAGCAGCTCTCCCCTTGTGGGAACACACTGACCACCAGGGGGCAGCTCCTGAGTTGAGTGTCTGTCTCCTGGTGGTCAGTGCAGGTAATAGAAACTGGTCGATTTGCATATTAGCCTTTTATTATATAGGATGATTTAAAAAAAAAATTGTGAAAAGCACAAAGCCAAAATCATTAAAAGTAGACTGAATATGTAACTCAGAGTAAGCCACATCATCTTTTGGTAATTTATGTACTCCTCTAGGAATGCAGCCTGCGAAAGAGATATTTAGTGTAAATACCAAAGGGTGAAATATAGATTTAGAGGGCAGGCTGGATATCTAAAGCAGTGCTTACCCAACTGTAATGTATATATGAATCACCTGGATTGCTTGCAGATTCCAATTTAGTAAACTTGGGCTCGGGCCTGAAATGCTGCAGTGCTGACAAGCTCTTAGGTTGTGTTGTACTGAGGTCCACAAACCACACTTTGAGTAACAAAGCCCTAACACACAGTTTCTCAATCTGGCTTGATTAAATGAAATCGTCCAGGATACCAGTTAAACATATATTTCAAGCTTCACTTCATACCTACTTACTGAATCAGATCTCCAGGATAGGGACATGGAAATCCCAATTTTTACCAGTTACCCAGGTGAGTCTAAGTTACTCTTAAGTTCATAGTTAGCCTTAGCCAGTGGTCGGCAAACTGCAGCTCGCGAGCCACATGTAGCTCTTTGGCTCCTTGAGCGTGGGTCTTCCTAAGCCTTAGGAGTACCTCAATTAAGTTAATAACAATGTATCTACCTATATAGTTTAAGTTTAAAAAATTTGGCTCTCAAAAGAAATTTCAATCATTGTACTGTTGATATTTGGCTCTGTTGACTAATGAGTTTGCCGACCACTGCTACTGGTTTGACTCAGTGGATAGAGTGTTGGACTAAAGGGTCTTGGGTTTGATTCTAGTCGGGGGCATGTACCTCAGTTGCAGGCTGCTCCCCGGCCTGGGCCCTCTTTAGGGAGTGTGCAGGAGGCAACCAATCGATGTGTTTCTCTCACATTGATATTTCTCTCTGTCTTTCCCTCTCTCTTCCACTCTCTCTAAAAATCAATGGAAAAATATCCTCAGGTGAGGATTAAAAAAAAAATAAATAAACAAGGTCATGATTATCAGAAATATGAAAGCATTTGACTTGCACAGACTAGTAGGAAATATACAACATATATGGCCCAAGTCTGACTAAAAACTGGGAAAGGTTCATATAGATTTGATCAAGTTTAATGTAACTTTCCTAGTTCCCTTCCAGTTTTGTCCCCACTGTTACATGCTAGCTCCTGTTTCATTAAAAATCCAACCAAAGGGAAAGATCCTGATCCTAATGACCTCTCAGACATTCTGATTTTCCTAAAGGACAAATGTGATACAATTTATGGAATAAAAAGAAGAGGCACTGTCTAAGAAAGCACTGTGTTTATTGTGTTTGTTTAATGGCAAATAATTTGATTCCAATTTTGTTTTATTTTAAAAACCAGTTAGTGTAATTCAGGGGTCCTCAACCTACGTCCCGCGGGCCACATGCAAATACAAATATTGTATTTGTTCCCGTTTTGTTATTTTACTTCAAAATAAGATATGTGCAGTATGCATAGGAATTTGTTCATAGTTTTTTTTTAAACTATAGTCCGGCCCTCCAACGGTCTGAGGGACAGTGAATTGGCTCCCTGTTTAAAAAGTTTGAGGACCCCTGGTGTAATTGAATATATCAGGAAAGTTTTAAACTACTTAAGATGGTAGTCAGTGATATTAGTGACTCAAGAATTCTTGTGCTAAAAAGTATATTGTATTGTTACTTAGATTCTTCTCTTTGGTCTTAATACTGATTTCATTATATCTCGTATCTCTTGATTTGATTGCTTAGGTGGAGAAATATGCTAAAGTGGAAAAGTCTATCAAATCTGATGACTCACAACCAACAGTCTGGCCAGCCCATGTAAGTAACCATTATAGTCTTCATTTCTAATGTACCTAATCTGGGATCTGAATTTTTTAAACAAAGTGTGGCTTCCAGTTTAAAAGGTAATTTTAATTTTAATGCATAACTGCATTTTTACTTTTGCTTTGGTTGCATAGTGATGGTTCTGATTTGTCTTGCTTCAAATTAGTAAGTAGTAAGTTATTTTAAGTATGTTTCCTAAGGAAGTATTCTATATAAGTTTCCCTATTTGTAATAATAACGGGAGAAATGGGCATAATTTATTAAATAAAGTAAATGTGGAAGTGAAATGTCTTCCTATTGCCAAATCTGTTAGTATGTCATTTATGTCTGATTTTTGTTAATTCTGATTGTGTCTACTAGAGGTGTTTGCTCTAACCAACTGAGATACCTGGCCAGGGCCAGTCTTTAACCATTAAGTATGTTAGCCATAGATTTCTTTATTTTTTACTTTTGTAGATGCTCTTTCTTGAGAAAGTTTCCTTCTATTTCTATTTCCCTAGTGGTTTTTAGAAACCATGAACAGATGTTGAATTTTCTTGTGCGCTTTTCCTGATATCAGCTGATATCTTGAGATTTTTCTTTAAAAAAACACCAAAAATCTTTATTTTTGGGAGTGTTATAGATGTCTCCCTTTTTTTTTCCCCATTGCTCCCCTCCACCGGGTTTCCACCCAACCCCAAGCCTCATTACCTTATTGTGTGTCCATAGGTAAAACGTATATGCATATAAATTCTTTAGTCAGTCTCTTTCTGGCTCTACTACCCACTTACCTCTGAGATTCATCAGTCTGTTCCATGTTTCCGTGCATCTGGTTCTATTTTCATTAGATTCCTTGTTCATTTATTTTGATTTTTATATTCAGCTGTAGATAGATATGCATTTATTGCTATTTTACTTATCATATTTTCTCCTCCTCCTCCTTCTCCTTTTTCTTCCTTCTTCTCTTTCCTTCCTTCCTTCCTTCCCTTCTTCTTCTTCTTCTTCTTCTTCTTCTTCTTCTTCTTCTTCTTCTTCATT